GAGAGAGAGAGAGACGGTGATCGATCGGCGTAGCGGACTTGTTTGTCGTGCGTTATTTGTAAAATGGCAGGAAAGTCGTCGTTGTCGTTGGAAACGATCGATTAGCTCGGGCGAACGTATCGGGATCTATCTCGTAACGTTCGGCTAATTGAAAAAGATGACGGAACGCGTAGGAGTATATTAAGTCGTATCGCATTGCGCAAAGCGGGGTGGCAGGAAATGGACTATAAATTAAGTGCGCATGAAATAACAGCATTTCTTCCTTCTGTCACTGATATATAGTAATTCACATGCACGGTCTTACGTCAGTATTGAGCTATAATTGCCATAAAAGTTTTCTTTATCGCTCATCGGTATGCAGCGACTTATTTATAAACCGTAGCCGCTTTTTTTTTTCTTTGTAACGCGCAATTTGAGATTTCGATGACACGCGTGTTAATTATTGAGGAAGTACACTTGTCTCCTTAATCAGATTAAAGGGTTCGCGAGTGCACTTATTAAGTATGAGATGAGCGCATGATTCGTCGGGATAAAAGTCGGTCGATTTGGAACTTGTCGAAAGCGAGATCTGTTCTCCCCGCGCTCCCTTTAAGCTACTTATTCCACGGCTTAAACTCGTTCGCGGTTGCTCGCCCGACGGCGAAATCCGAGACAGGTTCTCAATTTAAGATGGATCAATCCGTCTTGACGGATAATCTTCCCTTGGAAGGAACTTGAATTAAAAGGACGAACGAAGCCGAGAGAAAAGATGGACGTACCCATTTCCATTTTACATGCTGACAATTATAAGACGGATATATGGATCGCAATTATCGATTCACGCCTTTCTCCGTTTATCCACGATGAAATAATCACTTTATATTTTCTTCAAGATTAAAAAGAAAGGAATGATAAATGTTTAATGCCGGACCAAAGAATTTGCCACGAGTGATTTACAACTCTTTCTTTTTTATTATAATCCATAATTTAACACGCGCGTTTATAAAATTATTTACACGTTCCCAGATTTACACGTGTACAGATGACAGTGCGCATTGAACTCTCTTACGTCCTGGTAGATTTTTATTCAAGGACCTGGTGAAGAAGTGCTAGAGGCACGAGTATATTGAACTGTTGTGTGGCATTGTGTACGGATTAAAATACACCGCGCTTTTCTTGAACATTTATATCAATAACATGCATCATCTGTCATATACACTCATTCATACCGCGTACCCACGCATGTCAGCTTAACCAGTTTCCTTTGAATTGACACTCAGCCAAGGTGGTTAGACAGGAAACATCGAGGTAACGTCTCTTCTGGTATGTTAGAAAATTAACACGAATTATTCGCGCATTACGTCTTCTTCTTCTTCTACAATATATGATTAAAAAATAAGAGGCACGTCTCGTTCATTTTGTACTTGTAAATTGTGTTTTACGGAAAAATATATCGTGCACAGACTATAAACAGTTAATCTTGTTCAAACTGAATAAAAAAAACAAAAAGGAGAATTCGCGCGAGAAACTCGTTTTCTTACTTCCTTCTTGAGGCCATGGGCGAACGGAAAGGGATGGCTCCTTTTCTTTCCTGGTACTCCTTTTCTCTCTCCTCATTCCTACGAGGCTATGGACGACCAACAGAAAGAGATTGAGAGAACACGAGGGATTCTTTTTTGCGCGCTACGTCCTGATCGTGGAGGATTAGACAAAAGAGAATAGTGGAGAAACTCTTTAGAAGCTTTTTCTTGCTCTTCTCATCCGATCGCGGCGAACGAAAGACTTTAGTTCTTCTTTGTTACGCAAGAAATTGTTTGGTATCAATTATTTATTGTATTGTTTATCAATTATTTATTGAATTATTTGAGGAAAGAAGAATGTAGAAAAGTACAATCTTTTCCAATTCATAAAGAATATAATATTTTGATAAATGTTACGATAGCAACATGAGGTATATATTTTCTTGTTTCGATAGGCAGTGATGAATTGAACAGAATAATTCTTTACGAATTATTATGTCATGTTACACATTCCATTCCGCGAAAGAGAAACATGTTCGAAAATGCGAGTGAATTATCGTACATACGTTGAGATCTTTTCAAGGTCCCTCTTTTCTCTTTCTGTTACATCTTGACGAAACCCGCGGTGACGCGTCTGAAAGTGCGAAATGAAAGGAAGCTTGAATTTTCGAAGATCACTATAGAGGTACCTCTTAGCGAGAGAAGTAGCCATCGTTTCTCGGGAATGAGTCGACCGAATATTTCAATCTATGTACGCCCAACCATGTGTTCCGACGAAAAATGAAAAGGCGAAGAGGCATAAAGGAAGAAGAAAGACGAAGAAAGAAAAAAAAAAAAGAAAGGAAACCGGGTGACCGCTCGTTCGGTGAACGGATCCATGGGAAGGAATCTCACTCGAAAACGGCGCAATTTCGGCGGGAGGGCGTACGGCAACGCACGCTCGCTTCGCTATAATAACCGGGTGAGCGAAAAAATAAGCGGGATCGCGGGAGAAGTGGCGCGGTTTTTCTTTCGTGGCGTCCAAGGTCTCCCGCGTGCATATCTCACGCCGATTAATTGCGGCTGAATTTTTATTTATTGCAAAAGTGCAAGGTGGCGCGCGCCGGTGTGCGTGCGTGGTTAATGGTTATTGGCTCGCCGGCTCACCGATATTCCGCGTGTGGAGAACGGCGCGCGCGGAGCAGCGCGCGTAACTCGCGCGCTCGCGTATCAAGCTGGTACGCGCACATACGCGCACGCGAGATGGTATAGCCTCGTCGTAATAATAAATTCTACGCGTAGCAACGTGACTTATCCGCGCCGCTCCCGGCTAAGTACGCGCAATGATTGTTAATTGTCGACGCTGATACATGCGCCAGATACAGCACTCCGCTTCTCACCGCGCTGTATACTTTTGTTCTGATTCTTTCCGTGACGTCCGCGCGCCACCGCCGTGTAAACAACCTGTTTGCGATATAATTCGCTAATAATAAAAACTGAAATAAAAAGAACAATTATCGGTCGTTATTTATCGAGATGTTTTTTGATATACGAACGTCATTGGCTTTATCAGATTATCAGTCCGTGATTAATACACGCCTCTGGGGAAAGAATAGTTAATTTTAACCGTGTTGTCTTAGCGTCGAATAAATGTTTACTTAATCTCAATTGATCTGAATGCGTGATTATTTTCAAGAGTAAAAAAGACAAATTATAAAACCGACCTGCGAATGCTTTAGCTTTTTCGCCCCCGAAGGAGGTGAAGTCTCCGCTTCGCGTAAAAGTCCGCAATTATTACTCTCGTTTCGGTCGCACTATCGTAAATACGCGCGCTAACGAACCACTGAATCTTTACATTAATTTGTAAGCCTGTAACAAGCTCCGAAGCTGACATTTAACTTCCTCCCTCCATTTTTTCGTTATGACCTTTGCCGCGTCTTCGGGTCCTCTCGTTTTAATATATTATCACTTTGAATATCTCCAGGCAATCTCGACAAGAAAAGTATGCGTATCCGGCAATCACGCCTTTTTCTCCCAATGTCTTTCGCAATGTTACAAACAAACGATTAATTTCCATTAATCTTTTTTATCTTTATAGCGCAATTAGTGACACGATATTAATCAATTTGCACTGAGACGTAATGTATTTTTATTTCGTGTATATGTTCATTGTATGTTTTTCGACATACTTTGTGAACAGACGCGTTAATGCAAAACATTAACTTTGCAGTCTTCACTGACTATATTTCGTGTCCATGCATTTCGTTTGTAACATTGCGGTCGCATCTGTTGTGCGGATAGACAAACCGCGAGAGGCTTCGTGAGTCAATAATCAGAGAAAGGATGAATTACAACCTGTCTTGAATACACCGTCATCCGATGACTGTGACACGGTTAGAATAGATTTAATTATATGTGAAATATGCGCGTGGGATTTACATAAACATATAACGCTCGACCGCATATGGTTATTAAAAATATTTTGTACGCGAATAAATCAGGCTATGGAGTTGATATATAATACAAAAAAAATACTTTCTCCCACTAAATTGTGTTATTCCGCACATACACTTTGCCTTTCCATTCAGGTGAGGACTCTCGTTTATTCGAATGTCATTCCGGTTAATTCCTCAATCGAGTTAATAGCTTGCTGAGCGTTTAGCCTCGTTCAACATAAATATTTAACGCTTTTGCGGGATCTATGTGATGTGAGATATATAACTTTTGGTGTACGTAAAAACAGCCGCATTCGTTCAGAAGGTTCGAGATTATCTCAATTTAAGGGTGTGCGAGAGAATAACGGCATGCGATAAAGATCGAAAGATTAGACTACTCTAGGAAACTAGTCGTGCGAGTAGGAGGAAAATTCGTAGCGAAACGTTTTAAAAACGTAGCAGAAAAACGTGACTTACCCGGCGCGAAACGACGCGGCGGCGGCGGTGAGCGTCAGTTGCTGCGTGGCTGTGGCTGCACCGGCGGCGGCCGGATCGGCCGCGACGAGTTCCGACAGCACGAGGACCGTCGTCGTGGTCGTCGCGGCGCCGCAATTCGGCACGGTCGCGTTGACAGCGTGGCGCACGGTCGGCGGCAGATCGTCGTCGTGCTGCAGCTGCAGCGGATAGTGATGCAGGTGCAGAGCGCTCGCGGCGGCGGCGGCGGCCGTGGATCTCGGGGAGACGCAGGTCGGCGGCAACAGGCTCGTCCGCGTGACTCCGGCCGACGGCGGCGACGGCGACGGCGGCGAGGGCGGTGGCGGCGGATACTCGACCACCTGCACGCGATCCGCGTGCTCGTTCTCGTAAATGATCTCCTTGTCGTGAGTGTACATGACCGTCTTTTGACCGTCGTTGTAGATCAAGTCGATCATCTTGTGCTCGCCAACGCCGAGCGCCGCGTTGCCCGCGGCCGCCTCGGCGCCCGGCGTCACGCGGCCGTCAGGGTCGTCCGCGGCCGCGGCGCGCTGCTGCACGTCGTCCGGGTCTCTGCTCTGGATGTGCTGCTGCTGCTGCTGCTGTTGCTGATGGTGATGATGATGGTGATGGTGATGATGACGATGATGATGATGATGGTGGTACTTGGGATGAAGCGTGTGAACGGCTGGCGGCTCGTGCAAGTCGAGCACGTTCACCGGCTGCATGGTGGCCAGCAGGACCTGTTGCTCGCTCTCGTTTTGATTTGGGTTGCTCAGAGAGGAGGACGCCGGTGAGACTGGTGCCTCCTGCACCTATAACGCAGATAGGTAGGATCACTGTCGCGACGTATCGCAATGACTGCCATTCCGATTTGTCGGATAGGCGCTTTGGCGCTCTTATCACGATTGTCGATCGAGATATTCAAATGCATTGCGCACAATGATCGTGTATAATGATTTCATTATTATGCCAGATATGTTTATAGCATTATTTTTTTTATCGGCGAAAGAAAAGAACGGCCGTTGCAAAATCACGCTTCGTAATCGAGCGAAAGTATTGTGATCGCATTACATCGAGCAATAACGAGATACCTTGATCTTTGCGCGCACAATGCCGAGCGTGCTCGTTTTTTTCTTCCTACCGAAACGACGGGCGCGTTCGTTCGACCGGCGCCGCTGTGCAGACTGAATTAAATCATTTACAAGTACAATGATAACGGAGTTAAAGTAAAACACAGCGCGCGACCCGCGTTAAATTAATCGCATTAATCGGCGCGCGGTCTTACGACATTGGGATTTATACGTCCGAGCGAGATCCGACATCCCGGGCAACGCCGTGGCTGTGTTGCAACATCCTACAATATTTTCGAATGCTAATAACTTGTGCGATAGAAATTATATTAATATCTTCGCGCGCGAATCTGAAGCGCGAGGCGTTTCGTATCACCAGGCATCTCCTCATCGTAATTAATCGCTCGTGTGCTCATTGCCTGTAACGCGCAATATCGAGAAAATCTTGCAGCATATTCAAAGATCAAACGATCATGATTACGATTTAGGTCCAGGTGATCGCCATCGCGCGGCTGTCGGCTGTTTTCGTCGCGAAATTCAAGAAGGATTGGCAACGGGGCTTTTAACTTTCATTTCCGAGAAGCTAACGATCCATCCTCGCGCGGCATCGTCGGCATGTCGACATTATTTAATTGCTTCGACGAGCGTTTTATCTGTCGCGATTTATATTATGCTCCCCTCCCCTTCCCCAAAGATCACGCGTTACGTGATACGTTTTCACCGCGTTCTCCGAAAGACTGTCAGGCAGAAAACTGAGCTATCGATTATATTAGATCCACTGGAAAATTACAGATGGGATAACTCCACATTTTCTCCTTCCCGAACGATATATTCCTTTTGTCGCATGTATTTTGCGAGTATGGGATAAGATTTTAATTTTTGTAAGCTATTTTTACAACATGTTAATATCGGACGGAAACTGCAAAATTATTCATGAGAACATTCGCGATTCAAAGGTTTTTCAATGGATGAATAATGCGCGAAGGGAAATCTTCTGAAATTTTATTAAAATCATTACCGGGAATGTATCACTAACAAAACAAATATCCTACATAAGTATACTTAATGGCCAGTTAAATGGCGACAGTCGCTTTACTGATGCACTTACAGTATCCTAGTATCCGAAGTTCGCGCATACGGAAACCCCTGCGACCCGCATGAATAAGAATACGGTACAGTAATGACGTCGTTTGGAATTTCCCACGTGTCGCTGGATTATCGTGCTTTCTAGCCAGTAACATAAGTTACGACGCGAAGTCCCTCACTCTTTTCCACTCTTTCTCTTTCTCTCTTTTTTCCTTTTTTTTTTCCTAGCAAAACCTCCGAGACCTCGAGAGCTGCTCGGTGCTACACAGTCACCGCGGCATCATTCGTAACGTGACAGCGAGCGACGTGGCAACGCTATTAAGGCTCGTGCATATTGCAGCAGTCCGTAACCGCAACGATGGGTTCCGTCAATTAACATAATTAACAATATTATGAATCATCCTCTTAGTGCCCGGGCACCTCGCGCGTGGAGGTGCGTGTGAATTACGCGCGCCGTTAGGCCTAAGCACAAAAATTCATTCTTTTCCTCTCCCATTCCTTTCTCTCTGTCCCCTCGTCTCTTCGGAAAGTACCTTTTCCCTCCTTTCGCTTATCTCTTACGGTCTACGCGGGACTTAATCCCGAGTGTCACCGGTTCCTATATTTCCTCGTGTTGACCGTCGTAAATTCACCCGCTGATGAATAATCGCGATTCTACGATTAAGCGCGAGGATTAGCGCGATGAAATACGGTCGGTAGGTGCGGGTAAAATCGTTAATGGACGAACGCGAGCCTCTGAATAGACCACACGTGTCTCCACGAGCCAAGGTAACAATGTTTATCTCGCGATTATGACTTTCTGGTATACAGGACTGACAAACTTATTATTAATAACGTTGTAATTTCACGCCTTTTGCCAGCATTTTACGTGCAGGAAACGGCTTATGATTTTATTTTTTGGTGACCTTTCTTAACTACGCTTGTTATTCGTATCTTTCACCTGCGTAATTCCAAAATAAATGCGTCGTACATTAATATTAATTCCGATTACATAATGTCGGTATAGACTGTGCGAGGACTTATTACATTCTTAATATCCGTACAATACCAATGAGTACATGGATTTTTATTTGAATACAAATAGGTAAAATAGTAAACACTTTACGTGATCGTCTATTTTATGAATCGCATAATATATGAAATTTTCTTGCAACGATGCGATCTAACTTTATCACATTACTATCCTTGTTTCTTTTCGAAATATCGATGTTACTTAAATCCACTCCGAAGACGTGAGGAAGCGTTATAACTCAATTTTATTTTCGTATTTTACCGTGCCAGTAAATTCTTTATAGGCTCTAAAGACAAGACTCATAGACGTCGGGCATTGTGTCGTGAGTGTCTAATGGATGAAACGGTTCTGGTGTAACGGTGAAACGGTAATCGTGCGGACAATAAAAACGTCATGTCGCCGCGAGCGGTTTTGCGGTTTCGCGAATTTCGACTGCCGCGCAATGCGTTTCCCCGTAATTCCCCGTCGTTAGGAATCCCGGCAGATTCATTGCCTAAAGTCGTCGAGCTACCGAGGAGCTCCAGCCTTGACGTCGCGCCGCCATCCATCGCGACACGCTCCATCGGCGATGTCAGGGGTCCCAGATATGCCGGCTGGGGACATTAATCAGCCCGACCCGCGGCGAGTCGCGGCCGCGGCACGAGATTCGCCTCCCGCGGTCGTTACACGACGTTAAATACTCCACGATGCGGATACTCGGCCGTGTACCGACTTCATTCGAAATCTAATCCCACGTCAGTCAATGAAATTTATCGCGCTCGCACGGCCAGCGGGATCGACGCGGCCGTTCAGCGGTGATCCCACTGGAATCGGAACCGCGCGCGAATCCATTAGACTTTTTTATTGCGCTTACAACGAGGGATGGACGTTCAAATGAGGACATGGACATTCAAGGTAAAAATATCTATTTTACGATATTTTCTTACGATATTTTTACTATTTTCTTCGAGACGGGTTATCCCTCTCCCCCCGTACTTATCGACCCATGTTTAATTTGTCATTACACGAACACGATGCTGATCTAATCTAAGCATCTTGTACTGTGTAAATTAGAGTGATCCATCAAAGACGATTTATTCCGGGCAGTACGATTAAATACGAGTGCACTGAATCGTTTGCTATACACGTCACAGCGAAAGCTTTTTCTATTATGACTTTTTTCTATCTTACTTACTGTTCAAAACGATAGCGGAAAACGCTATCATTAAATTTACTTCGCGAAAGCAAAGACGTTTCTCGCATATCGCGAACCCGAACGTCATACAATCGCGACAAAACTTCCGAGCAAGACGAATGATCGCGATTTCGCGAATAGCTCGAAATGACTACCGCGAATCCTACGGATCGCCGTAGCGCAGCGGCTCGTTTAGGATGCTGCGCGTCCTCTTTACACGCAAGAAATCCTTCATAATAACAGTTAATTGGCCGGCCGATCCGAGAGTTCGTGCCGGACAGTAGTCCAACGTGTCTGTCGGTCGAATGGCCCGTCCGTCCGTGGCTGAAACTCGCGGATACTCGAACGTCTCCCTCGTTTCTTACCCGTTCACCGCCGTAGGCTGCGAATCGCGCTCGTACATCCCCCTTGCAACGTGCAGTTATTGCCGATCGCGACGCAGTACGCAGCTGCGTGCAACGCGGATGTAGATACGTGGAATCGTTAGGTACTTTTCTTCTGCGGTGCTGTACGTGTCTTAGGGGTACGATCTTCGTCCGTTTGCCGTAACGGCTGGAATATCCTTGCGATTCGCTTTTTACAATCGTTAACATTATCGTTCGTTATATTACTTCCAGCGAGGATTGCCGATGTTTATTAGCCGATGTCAACTTGTGATACAATGCGTCCCGTTTAATGATTCATTATGTGTAAGCAAAGCCACGCGATATATTTCATTAGCCGCGTTAACTGGATTGATAAAATTCGAGATTAAGAAAATCGAAGGTTTTATTAATCATTAAAGATATTTTTCTCTCACAAATATGAATCCGGAATTTTGAATCGTGAGCTGCTATGACTATGTAACGTGGCACTATGCGTCTAGGCAACAGTTCGTAAAGTAACTTTTTTCCCATTGCTTTATGCGGCTAATGCTCTTAGTTGCACTCGTAAAAACGCCAGTCTTAACTCGAGTGGGTTAATTGCGACAAAAATTACAACGATCGCGGTTTCAGTGAAATTTCTCTTGCATTATTGTTCATCGAATGTTCGGTATATGGCTCGTTTTATCGTGATTCGGTAATCGCGCGATGACGTAGCTCGGCTCGAAATAATATTACGCGATTATAATAATTCAATCCTTTACATAACTAGATATTAAGTACTCCGAAAACTTCTGATATCCATAAACGGAGAGAATCAAAATATTTGACTTAAGTTTATTAATTTTACATTTACACGCACACCGTCTCACGACTTATTTAATTAACGTCATTGCTAATTATTGCTCATCATCCAATCATCGAGCGCTCCCCTTTTTATTACGAATTTATTTCGCAAGTAAAATATTTCGGCGTTCCATCCATTGCGCTGATGTGCACGCTTATTTTCGATATATTTTTTTGCACGCTTTCAATCTCGTTTTTGCGATCAGTATGAGTCATTTGAATCGAAAAAAAATGCGCGTGCACGAATTACAGAGACTTTTCTTATTTTTTTTCCCCCCCTCTTTTGCCTACCGCCCAATAATGAATCGGTTAACGAAAAAGTTAATGAAGATACAAAATGACCAGTCGCTCCGGAATTCTATTAAAGAGCCTTTACTTCTTATCTCCATAATGAACGGCGCGATCATCGACGAAGGTTCTCTTCGTTTGATCATCAGGTATGAGAAATCTGAAGAGTCATCATCGCGCACGGTGAATCTTTTCCTTCGTCGTAGCCAGTCTTGTCCACAGGTAGATAGGTAGGCTCCGACGCATACACGAAGAGACGAAAGGACGATTAATAATGTATCGCTCCGTCGGGAAAGAATTTCGTTAGTGACAACAACATCGGCGCGTCCCTACGCATCCACAATAACTGAAAATTCAAACGCGCTCATCCACATCTCGGTACTGTGAAGTCACACCTGGATATTTTCTTTCGATCCGGAAACGCGATAATATTTACACGATTACTTGAACACCCGGTATGCTCACGCACTTGCGATGCTTGTCGTAAACGGATTTTAACCGCGTATTAAAAGGCGCCAGGCGCAGGTGCGAAACGGTCCTTATTTTCGTCTTTTCACGAGATTTATCGAGCGCACATCCGCACGCAACGGTTTAAGGAGAGCAAGATGCAAATGACTTTTTTATTGATCTTCATACGACTTTCATATGACGTTCATCGATAGTATCTTAAATCCTTGTAATTTTTCTCGCGTCAAAACTTTTTCTCATTTAAATATTTTACCTTATTGAAAAATTTTCTGTTCTTATAGTGCTATTTAAATGCCACTGACGTAAATATAACAATGTTACATAAATGATTGCGTAATCATTTTTTCTTATTTAAATATCATATGTTATTGAAAAAAGGGACAAAGAAAAAAGAAATTTTATTCTTTTGATAGATTTTAAGTTACCATATTATTTGCGTTGTAATTACTGTTTTTCTTTTTATTATTGGATAAAACAAGAGATCGAAAAACTCAAAGCTCTTTGGTCTCGAAATATTCAATCTATTTAATAAATATTTAATAGAAGTTACGAACGTCGCGCAAAATGGATCTATAATCTATAATTATTCTGTAGGGATTTATCCATAATCCATCGAGCTATTAAGATTCTCGTAGAACGACTTACGCCCCATACTTATTCACCCTTTTCATTGTAGAACGAGTAACGGAGCTGATCAATGCATTTCACTTTCGAGAGATTCTTTGAAGCTACAAAAACTTTGAAGCTACCTGCAGCGATTTGAATTGAATTTTCATGAAAGCGCTCCTTTGACCTCGAAGGCTATCTTGTTATTGCATTTGAAGTTAATTTGCATTAAATATCACAATTGAAAGTAAAATGTCTATGACAAATTTTTTAAACAAATTAAATTTCTATTATCGAAAAATTTGGAGTACAAGAAATATCGTGCTATTAATGAATATAGCAGAAATTGCGCTGAAATACCAAAAATATAAGCAGCATGTAAAATGAAGTAGCAAATAACAAAATATAATAATCTTATCTGAGAATAATTTATTCAGAAAATTAGCTCATATTTTAGAATTTTCCCATTTTTATTAAAATTAATTCTTAACTCTTGGAATGTACATTATTTTCGAGGTATTCGATATTTTAAAACATAACTCGTAATCGTGATTTCTTTAGCATTAATAATGGAATTGACAGATTATCGTACACGAACAGACTCGTACATCATTTAGACCTTGACGTGTCAGGGACGTCCCAGAAATTCTGTTCTTCACGACTGGTAATAATCCCTGCGGTCCACCATCCTCGTTATTTCGCGCAACGGGTGGCGCTGTCGAGAGAAACGGAGAAAGGTGGTACGAACGAAAGAATGAAGGAAGAGAAAAAAAAATAAATGAAAACGTTCAGAAACGAAAAATAGATAGGTCATATGATAATTTACACAATGAATTATTTTTCAGTTTCTTCAAATATAAACATTGAAAAAAATAGAAAAACAATAATAAGCCAAGCTGGATATAATCGTACTTATTATTCTTCAATTATTAAAACATAAATATATATGATCGTCAGGATCGCAAACATTTCGGTCTTTTATGAAATTTATCATGGTAACGATAATAAATTATTAAACCATCAAATCATTAAAATAAGTAAAAATAAAATATTGCCGAGAAGGCCGATTCATAATTAAATTTTCTAATTATCTTGGAGGTGTTTCAAATTTGAATGTCATCGTTGTACGAAATTGAGTCTCGAAATGAAAATTCGAAGTTGACATTAGCATACTTTTTTCAATAAGTCAGGTATGAAACATTGGCAAAAATCCGCGCTTTGATATGAATACAAAGAACAGACAGAAGTAAATAATAATAATAATAATAATAGTAAAGAAGCGAATAGGATTCGGGTAAATCTTTAATATCATCTAGATTTAAGAAGTTTCTCTAAATTCCCTAGTTTTTAAGATTAAATTTCAGATCTAGTTTAATGTTTTATATAAGGATTATGAAAGAAATGTTAATTCTGTTTTTCTTTTAAATTCTTAGATCTTTAGCAAACATGCAGGCCCAGGATAAATATTAATCATAAAAATTATAAATTTTCTGCAGGTTTGAAATTGTCAATTATTTTGTACTCGCTAATTTGAAATACATAAAATTAAGCTGTTTGATTTTAATTGGTCTTTATAAGAATTTACATTACTGCTTTAAAGAAATATGATTCTCACAATCAGATAATACTATTTTAATTATAGATAATGCCACACGCGGCGTTAAATTTTATCATCCGAAAGTGAAAGTGTTTGTAACTGACCGGAGACAGAGTGCAGGGTGCATTATCGGCCTCGTCGGTGCACGTCGACATTCTCCAGCGCCGTCTTTCGTTTCTCTTTTCTCGTCGTAATATTAAATCCGCTTAAAGAACGTATTCTGGTCGGGCTAAGTTCTCGTTGTCTTAGGAATTTCAGTTCTCTTTTGATATTGAATCTGATGAAACCTTCAGCCTGATTTTAGTCTTCGACTAGGTGTTTATGTCTATGTAAATATTTAGACATCGAGTATTATATCACAGGTTGCTGAGGGTTGATATGGCACGTTGTTTGAAGAAGAGCGGGCGATAAAAAAACCTGAAAGAAATAAAAAGAAAAAAAGACTCATAAGAAATGGGAGATCACGTTTGTCATCGTCCATCTTCAATGTTAAAAATGAAGTGATTTATAATTACTGAGGACAAGTTACAGATTTCCATCTATTGATTTCATGGCGAATCTAACGACATTTAATAGGCATGGCGAACCGAACAAAACTAGGGACCATTAGCAGGTACAATCGTAGGTAAGTGACCCTAAGTTTCGTTCGCATAACAGGTAGGTGCCGAAACCAGAGAATCCACGTCTCGGTTTTCGTCACACGGTCCGTGAGAGAAGGAGAAGCTTCGTGCACGCGGGACGCGTACTCCCGCAATTGGGAAACCGGAACCCGCGTACGAGCGAGCGAGCAGGTTTGGCGTTATTCACTTATCGAGTGAAGATCCGCGCGGATGTCGGTCAACCAGTCTGACACCGCGAATTCTACATCCTCGCGCGCGGTCTCGTCCAGGTGGATGGTTGGCAAAACCAGTCAGTTAACTCTTCTCTTCGACTCGCTCCTACTACGATGGAGTACGCGCGCGTGAGCACGCGCGTGGAGGAGGGCGCGCGCGTAAAACTGGAATTCAGCTCGCGGGCACTGCTCTGACGGATAGACAGGTATAATAATAGACGTAACGAGGAAGCCGGACCATCGAGAGTGAACACACAAGACGATGCCGGTTCTCACTACCTCTCTCTTCCTCCTGTCTTTTTCTCTTTCTTGGGCCGCGCGTCGTCAATAATGGAGACGCGATGATGCTCGCGAGGAAGGAACAAGACTGGTTGGTTAGAAAGAAG